TTTTTTTAATTTTTTATTTTATTTTATTTTTTTTCAACGTTTATTTATTTTGGGGACAGAGAGAGACAGCATGAACGGGGGAGGGGCAGAGAGAGAGGGAGACACAGAATCGGAAACAGGCTCCAGGCTGTGAGCCTTCAGCCCAGAGCCCGACGCGGGGCTCGAACTCACGGACCGTGAGATGGTGACCTGGCTGAAGTCGGACGCTTAACCGACTGTGCCACCCAGGCGCCCCGGTTTCTGAGAGTTTTAATTTCACAGTTATATTTGCTGTCCAGGCTTCTAAGAGAGAGAAAAAGAAAGAAAGTTATCCAAAATAGCATGTATTCCTTAGGAGTGATGAAACCCAACACAGGGAAGATTAATTTACATGCCAGTGTACATATGGATAAATCAAAGATGGCATGTTTTAGGAAACATTTTTTCTTCCTTCCCAGAAATGTAATAAATTATTTCATAGTTAAGAAATTCTAGGGGCGCCTGGATGTCTCAGTCAGTTAAGCGTCCAACTTCAGCTCATGATCTCACAGTTTGTGGGTTCCAGCCCCGCATCGGGCTCTGTGCTGACAGCTCGGAGCCTGGAGCCTGGTTCGGATTCTGTGCCTCCCTCTCTCTCTGCCCTCCCCAACTCATGCTCTGTCTCTCTCTCTCTCTCTCCCTATCTCTCTCTCTCTGTCTCAAAAATAAATATAAAAAAAAGTTTTGGGGTGCCTGGGTGGCTCAATCGGTTAGACGACTGCAGCCCAGGTCATGATCTTGTGGTTCGTGGGTTCGAGCGGCACGTCATGTTTTGTGCTGACAGCTCAGAGCCTGGAGCCTGCTTCAGATTCTGTCTCCCTCGCTCTCTGCCCTTCCCCCACCCGTGCGCGTGCGCTCTCTCTCTCTCTCTCTCTCTCTCTCTCTCTCTCAAATAAACATTAAAAAAAAGTTTTAATTCCTGGTTCTACTACTTTGTTGTTGAAGTCTTAATCATGCCTACCACACCAATGCCTACCACACCAAGTCGTTTTGAATGTTGAATTGTATCAAATAAAAAAAAAGTAAAAGCTCTTTTTAAAATGAAAATTTCTGTGTAGGTTTATGAAAGTGATGATACACCATCATCATCATCATCATCATCATCATATTATTATTATTATTATTAGATCACATTAGCCACCATAACTGGTCAGTCATTTCAATCCTATAGACCGACCAATCGTGGAAAAACATTGAAATGTTTGGGGAAAAAATAAAGATATTCTGCTTGCATTTTTCATCAAAATTGTGTATATAAAATTTATATGCAGTATATATTATATATATGTTTCATAGTACAAAATACGTTAAATGACCTATTTCTATATAATATAGGTATAATCAAGGGACAAGTTTGTAAAGCAACTTAAACCCTTAAACAATTAGCTTTTATCTTAAAGGGACACTATCTTAGGCAGTATATTGCATATTAAGCTAAATTAAGGGCAAAAACACCTGTTTAACAATCAGGGTTTGTTAAGAGATTGTGTTGTCTGTCATGGAGCCCTAATAGATTCATGGGTTTGGCTTTGTGAAAGAAAAGCAGAAAACCACAGTACAAAAATTTGGAAGAGACATCCACGGTTTGGCTTCATTTTTCTTATTTTGATACTTTAACACCTATGTGTTACGAATGTGTGAAGCAGTCATCAAACTTTAGGCCGTTTTTCCTTATTGTTCCATTCCATTCAGATAGTTGCAAGTGGCCTTTGGTGCTGTTTTAATTGTCTTATCTGTTTTAATCTTTCAGATCATAAGGCCTATGGATCGTCTGCCCCAAAAGGCCATCAAGTAGTCACAGCAATAGAGTATCAAGGTAGAGTAACTTACTGATTTTCACGGGCTGGGTTGTTTACCTCAAAAGTATGATGCGTATGATGTTATCTTTCTATTTGTTGGGACCCTTTGCCTTGCCTCATACTGATCCTTCCTTCCAACATGCCATTCTGTGCTATTTCCACTTGAGAATTCTTTCCCCACCTCCTCAATGGAAATTTTGGACATTTGATGAAAGACCTGATGTACAAAGAAGGCCTCTTATTGCGTAAATTATCTACAACAAAGCAAATCTAATTTGTGAAACTGGTAGATGGAGGTCTTGCAAAGTTTCCAGCTAGCTGGATATGGCAAATGGAAATTAACACTGCAAACCCCACTCTACTTAACGTATTTAAGATGACATTAATATAGCCTATTTTTTGTTATGATTTTGTCCTGTCAAGTATTTTTATCACAGGGAGTTGGTGTTTAATGGGTATAAAGTTTCACTTTTGCAAGATAAAAAGTTCTAGAGATTGGTTGCTTAACAATGTGAATGTACTTAACACTACTGAAAAATTAAAAATCATTAAGCTGGCAAAAAGTTAAAAGTTATTAAGATGGCAGAGGTTATGTGTATTTAACCACAATTAAAAAAAAAATTCAAAGCTCTATTAACCAAGAAAAACTTTTTAAGGGCTTTATAAGTTTACTTCAAATATTGACTACCTGCTACTTTTCTGAAGGCTCTTTTACCTAGAACACAATAATACTAGGCAAACAGAAGAATTACTATTTCCTAAGTGTGCTGCTTGTTTAGGCCCGAGATTGTAAACATTTAAGAAACAAGTTTCAAATGTGTCTGATCCCTCTTCTTCAGGCAAGTCTTAGGTTCCTGGAGTGTAGAGAGATAGGTTTGAAGGAAAGAGACAAAGATTGAAGAAGAGAACTGGGTGGGGAGGAACTAAGTAGATTAGTATTTAACTAGTACTTGCTCAGTGCCTGGCACATAGTGTTACCTAAGCTTGTGCAGTAAAAATGTGCTATCGTAACCACCAGCCTGCCATTCAAAAGTAACACATCACTTGATAACAAACCACTTAAATAACTATAGTTAACTGAGTTCTTTCAAAAGTCCTAATATCTTATATGATCAAGCTAACAAAACACTTCTTCTTTATCATGAATTAGTTTTAAGTGGAAAGAAGTGGGAAGAGCAAATTAATGATTGGGGGTAATTTAGGGCTTTGGAGGATAAACAGGGCTGGACGAGATGTCAAAAAGTTGACAAGAAAGGCCAAAAGAGGGATCACACAGTGAGAAGAGAAGATGGGCCAGGATTCTGTGAGGGACAAAGGAAGTGAACCGTCCTACTTTGTACTTTCCTGGAGGTTCTTACTGTTGGAACCAGCTGGGTACCATGAATATACGTCCCTGCCCCCGCTTCTGCCCAGGCCCTATGGCATGACATCTCAGTGAGGTCGCCAAAATTATATTCTTCAGTCTTACATTACTTTTCAACAAACGTATTGAGATGAGGGGCGCCTGGGTGGCTCAATCAGTTAGGCATCCAACTTTTGATCTCGGCTCAGGTCATGATCTCACAGTTCATGAGTTCAAGCCCTGTGTTGGGCTCTGCACTTACAGTGTGGAGCCTGCTTGGGATTCTCTCTCTCCCTTTCTCTCTGCCCCTTGCCTGCTCCCTTCCTCTCTCTCTCTCTCTCTCTCTCTCTCAAAATAAATAAACTTAAAATGTATTGAGGTGAAATTCACATTCGAATGAGTGATTCCGTAGCATTTAGTACATGCACAATGTTGTGTAACAACCACTTCTGTCTAGTTGCAAAAATTTCCATCGCTCCAAATAAAATCTTGTACTATTTACATTACTTTTTTTTTTTTAATTTTTTTTTTTCAACGTTTATTTATTTTTGGGACAGAGAGAGACAGAGCATGAACAGGGGAGGGGCAGAGAGAGGGAGACATAGAATCGGAAACAGGCTCCAGGCTCTGAGCCATCAGCCCAGAGCCTGACGCGGGGCTCAAACTCACGGACCGCGAGATCGTGACCTGGCTGAAGCCGGACGCGTAACCGACTGTGCCACCCAGGCGCCCTACATTACTTTTTAATGCGTGTTTTATTTTCAATATAAAAAATCCTTCTATGATGTATTGCAATCAAATGTTAGTCTTACTCCCAAGTAAGTATTTTCTATTGTTTTGTTTCCCCTTTGCTCCTTTTACTTAAGAATTGTACTTTGATTCGATTTCATATGTGCTCCAGTCATTCCAACCTAGCTCTCCTTAAAGGCAAAAAATAAATTTCTATCTTCATCCACATTTTAGTTGCAGGATATCTTACGCAGTAACTTAATTTCAGTTCAAGTCTAAAATATTTTGTAATTTATGTCTCTGTGTAGGTACTTTCCACCTCATTCATTTTTTGTTTCTTGTCTCTCCGATGTCAACAAATCATGAATTAATTCCTTCTTTTCGGTACTGCTGTTTTGTGTCACTTCCCATAGCGGTGCCAAGAACAGAGCAAGACTGAAGCAAGGGCAGCTTTGCTAGGCTTATAAATTATATAAGCAGCCTTTATGCAGAGTGTCCAATCCTGAGAGCTATAAATCAGTTTAATAGAACGCCTTTTTCTCACAGAAGTAATTTCTTCATAAGTCTTCAGAACTGCTTTGGTAGCATCGATTCTGTTTTTGCATTACATCAGATTCTGATGATTTTTTAACTTGAGCACAGAGAATAAAATCAAAAGATAAGTGGCAGTACAGAATCCTAGAAAAACTAAAACCCACAGTGCTTTCTATCGAGGTGATTCCTAAAAGTGGCTGTTTTGCTACATGAAAATAGTTATTGCTAATAGTTCTTCTAAACAAAGAAATCTCTTTCCTCGAATCAAGAGAGACATGTTTTTGGAAATGAAATAATCATCTTATTTAAAAACCATGGTACATTTGTATGCTTCAGTATGCCTTGCTTTGGGAAAATATGATTTATGTCTGTATCCTGTTTTTTGCTGTCTACAACTGAGATAACATTTTAGTTCAAATTCGAGTGATTTTTTTAGGTAAATTTGGGTTGTAGAAAGCGTGGGTTTCTATCACGTCAAGGCGTACTTCAACTACAATGACAAGAAGTTTTTCATGAGTGAAAGCAGTTATAACCATTGATGGGGCACCTGCTGTGTACCAACTATATAAGTATATTACCTCAAGCATATAAGTATATATATAAGTACATACCCAAGTGTATAAGTATATTACCTCATGTAATCTTCACAATAACTTCGTAAGATGAATACCATCATTTTTTTCCTTTATACAAATGCGAATATAACGTTCAAAAAGAGTTAAGTAATTTGTCCAACATCGCACACATTGTATATGGGAGAGCTCCAACTCCAAAGTCCGTGCCTTAAACTACTACATTAGGGTTTAGTAACCCTGAGGGCTACCTACAGAATTATTCTGATCATAAGTGCTGTATTTTAGCTGCAAAGAGAGAGGAGAGTCTGTGGTAGTTAGCTTCTCCATTCATTTGGTTCTTTATCCTCAGATGTTGACGCCATGGTTCCATTTGACTTACTGTTTCTCACAGTTCTGGAGGTCATGGTGTTGGCCCCTTCAGATCTAGGCACTGGCCATTGCCTTGCTTGGAATACTCCCAAAGAAACACGTGATGAATTCCAGTTTCGAATTCTAGGAAATTTGTGTTTAAATTCTAAAGAATTCTAATTTCTTTTTTTAAGTCTTTGGTCAAATGTCACTCTCTAATTGAGTTGAACTCTGACTACTCCATTTCTCTTTTTCTTTTTACTGCACCCCAACATTCCTGATCTACTCAATTTTATTTCCATAGCACTCAGTCTCTATTCTGATTTACTCTACTTTATTTCCATAGCGCCCATTGCCTCCTAATGTGGTATTTAATTCACTTTATGATATTTCTTACGTACCTGACTCCCCCTGCAAATTGCAAGACCCAAAAGAACAGGGATCTTTGTTTTGCTCACTGATATAGCTCAGGAACAAAGGTGGACACAACAGTAAGTACTCAATAGTTGGACCAATTGGAGAGAACATTCCTCCACATCTTACATGGTCATTGGAGTGAAGCTGGAGTGGTGTCACTGTATTTAGGCAATCCATTGGTTTCAGTTTTGAATATAATTTCTGCAGAGGTTTTCCATGGAGCAGCGAGGAGAGAAGTCAAATCTTGGTAAAAAGAGCTGTGTGTGTGTATGCGTGTGTGTCTAGTTAAAAGTATATGAAATCTATGAGCAGTGTGACTGAATACAAATTTATTCCTAAGATGTAGGCGTGTGGGCTAAAAATGAGTGTGGGTGTGTGTTTAATTGTTGGAAACTCAACAAAATACGGGAAGGAAACCTATCTAAAACTCAAGACTCCGGAAAGTCACCACCCATTCTCCTTAATCAACAGAACAGAACCGTGTTTCCTCAGACAAGTCCCTCAGCACACATTTGTCTTTGTGGCATAATTGTAAACATGCCTGTAAAACGATGTCTCTTCGTAATGTAAACCTGTTCTAAAAACTTCAGGCATTCTTGATGGCAAATTTTGTGGGCTTTTTTCCCCCCCTTGCCTTCCTTTTCTCTGTTCTGTTTTCTTTTTTCCATTACCTTTTATCCTAACAACATGTGTAAAACTAAAAGAAAAATTAGAAGCTCCATATAACAAAAAGAAAAGTCATCATCCTATCTCACAAAAATCACCGCTGGGTTAATATTTTCATACATATTTCTATAGGCTTTTTGTCCATATTTGTGTGTATATTAATAAACCTGGGATAGTACAAGAATTGCTTTCTAATCTACCATATCATGTAATATCCTGAATTCTTTTTAAAAATGGCATTCAATCTCCTATATCAAAATCAGAGATATGGAAAGGATTTTAACATAATTAGTCTCTTCTAGTCAAAGATTGGTGTTTTGGGGTCAAACTAGATGCATCGTGGGGGAAAAAAATCTCAGAAATATGAAGGTGACACTCTAGATTGCCTGATTGAAATGTGCTTTAAAAATATTTACAAGCAGAGTTTCCTTTGGTAACTCAAAGCAGACACAGGATTTCTCCCCACCTTGGTGATCTTGTTTGGACAGTTAAGTGGGGGTTCCTTCAGGGTTCCAGGAATTCTTTAAAGATGTGACTGCAGTAAATTTCCTGTAATAAAGTAACTGAAATGAACTACAGGGAGGCAGTTAAACTTGATGCCAAGACTGAATCTTTTCATAATTTATCTGGAGAAAGAATAGGAATCCATGATTTAGTAGAAGTCTATACTGGGTTTGTATTAATACATACATAGAGAGGGTTATCAAAAAAGGAACCCGAATGAGATTGTAGCTTGTTGATGGAATGTTTGTGGATTCCACAGGCTGGACTGAGAGCCTTTCTTAGGCACTAGGTGTGAAGCACCCTTTCTGTTAACCTCCATGGCACTCATGGCACTTATCACAATGGATCAAAATTACATGATCTTGTTTGCCTCTTCTACCAAACTGTAACCTTGATGACTGAGACTGGGAATAGTGAGATAAATCATTGACCATGACTGCCATTTTCACATTACTTACTATATCCAGGCATGTGTGTTTTGCATATATTATTGTATTTGAGGACTCACTTCGACTCTAGGAAATACTGTCTCATTTTACAGATGGTAACCGAGGCTCAAGAAGTAGGGTGAGTAACATAGTGTCGTGCAATTATTATGGAGAAGAGCTGTAATGCTCTCAGGTTCATCATGGAGTCTGTTGAAGTGATTTATGAGTGAATGAATGAATGAATGGGAATAGCTGAAGGCTGTTTAACAATTTACTTAAGTAAAATATAAATTCATAGGAACAATTAGAAAACAAGTATTTTTGTTGTTGTTCCTAGAGGTTATATTAGCCTGCAAATATGCAAAGAAGACCATGTCCTCCAGGTTAGAGTGGAAGAAACTGGGTCGGAGTGTCTCCTTTGTCTACTACCAACAGTCTCTTCAAGGTAAGATGCTGTAGACTTGAGGAGGTGAGAGCAAGAGAACACCAAGTGTAGCCCAGATTCTTTAATTTACAAATAAAAACAGGACAGGGCTAATTATGGACAATGTGGGGGGTTTTATCATTTTATTTTATTTCATTTTATTTCATTTTACTTTATTTCATTTCATTTTATTTCATTTCATTTTATTTTATTTTATTTTATTTTATTTTATTTTATTTTATTTTATTTTTATTTTATTTTCATCATGATAACGATACTCTTTAATCCCTATCCCATATTTCCCCCATTCCCCTACCCATCTCCCCTCTGGTAACCATAAGTTTGTTCTCTACAATTAAGAGTCTTTTTCTTGGTTTGTCTCTCTCTCTCTCTCTCTCTCTCTCTCTCTCTCTCTCTCTGTTGTTTTTTTTTTTCCTTTGCTCATTTGTTTCTTAAGTTCCACATATGAGTGAAAATCATACGGCGTTTGTCTTCCTCTGATTGATTTATTTCTTTTAGGGTAATAGCCTCCAGCTCTATCCATGTTATTGCAAATGGCAAGATTTCATTCTTTTTATGGCGGAGTAATATTCCATTTTGTATATATACCTCATCTTCTTTATCCATACATCTATTGATGGACATTTAGGCTGCTTCCATAATTTGACTATTGTAAATTGCGCTGCAATAAACATAGGGGTGTGTGTTACCGCTTTGAATTAGAATTTTTGTATCTTTTGTGTAAATACCCAGGGGTACGATTCCTGGTCCATACGGTAGTTCTATTTTTAATTTTTGAGGAACTTCCATACACTCTTCCACAATAGTTGCTCCAGTTTGCATCCCCACCAGCAGTGTACAAGGGTTCCTTTTTCTCTATAACTTCACCAACATTTGTTGTTTGTTGTGTTTTTGATGTTAGCCATTTGACCGGTATGAAGTGATATCTCATTGTAGGTTTGATTTGCCTTGATGAGGCGTGATGTTGAGTATCTTTCCATGTGTCTTTTGGCCATCTGTATGTCTTCTTGGGAGAAATGTCTGTTCATGTCTTCCGCCCATTTTTTAATTGGATTATTTGTTTTGGGGTATTGAGTCATATCAGTGCTTTATATATTTTGGATCCTAACCCTTTAGCAAATATATAATTTGCAAATATCTTCTTCCATTCCATAGGCTGCCTTTTAATTTTGTTAATTGTTTCCTTCATTGAAGAAACTTTTTATTTTGATGTAGTCCCAATAGTTTATTTCTGCTGTTATTTCTCTTGCCTCAGGAGATCTGTCTAGAAAAATGTTGTTATGACTGCTGTCAGAAAGATTCCTGCCTATGCTCTCTTCGAGGATTCTTATGGTTTCAGGTCTCACATTTAGGTTTAATCCATTTTGAGTTTATTTTTGTGTATGGTGAAAGAGAATATGTTTTGTAAGTATGAGATGAAACCAACAATGACTGAGACCTAGAACACAACACCCCCCAAACAGGACAGAGAACAGAAGAAGGCAAAGTCCGTGGAGACCCTGGACCCTTCATGTCTCAGCTCATTTGTAAAGGATGTAAAATGCAATTGTTCTTGCTGGCTCAGTAGATTAGACTCTTGAGAGAAAGGAGGAAGGGATGGTGTGGAGGTGTGGTGGAGGGTCATTGCTCAGTTGTAGTCATGTTACCCTATGTCCATATCACTGTCTAGAAAGCTAGGCCATCACTAACAAGCCTAAGGAGTTAAGACTTAGGCTTATGGGGAGGGGAGCGGGTAGAGGGTAAATACAACTACCTTTAACTGGCGCTTTATTTTTTTTTATTTGTTTTTTAGTGTTTATTTATTTTTGAGAGACAGAGAGACAGTGTGTGAGCGGTAGAGGGGCAGAGAAAGAGAGAGGGAGACAGAATCCGAAGCATGCTCCAGGCTCTGAGCTGTCAGCACAGAGCCTGACGCGGGGCTCAAACCCACAAACCGTGAGATCATGACCTGAGCTGAAGTCAGACGCTTAACTGACTGAACCACCCAGGCGCCCCTAGTGGGGCTTTATTTTTAATTTTTAATTTATTATACACTTCTTTCCACTTCCTGTTTTTCCTGTTGAATATGTAATGAGCTTTTAAAGCATTGATAATAATAGATGACATGCTAAAATAATTTGCCTCAAAAAATAAAATAAAATAAAATAAAATAAAATAAAATAAAATAATTTGCCTCAAAATAATTCAGTGCTTAGAGGCACAAATAGAATAAAAGCGAGGTGACTTGAGGAAGGTAGTATAGGGAAAGTTAGTTGCATTCTTATTAACGTCATTGTCTTCTTTTTCTAAAAGGTGATTTTAAATATCGAGCCGAGATGATAGATTTCAGTATACGGATCAAAAATGTTACAAGAAATGATGCTGGGAAATATCGTTGTGAAATTAGTGCCCCATCTAAGAAAGGCCAAAACCTGGAAGAAGATACGGTTACTCTGGAAGTACTAGGTATGATGCGCTTGTATCTGTGGGATTACTGTTGTCCACCCTCCCTCCCTCATCCCCCAGCCCTGGGGCAATGAGGCAACCTGGGGGCCCAGTCAGGAAAGTTCTAGAAATCAGCACCTTTCCTGCAAAATCTTGGCTATATCTCCTCTTCACCTCATTTGCTGCTGAAATTTTACTCTCACTAATTTTTTCTGACAAAATCTCTTATCATTTAAGATTATGGTATCTTAATGGCCCTATCCTGTACATAGGAGCAGTTCCCCTAAGAGTTTATTTTTCAGTACCTTTCAGTATATGTGGTATATCTCTTACCACATAAAATCCTATCACATGAGATGATGGAAAAGCAATAAAATGAAAAAGTAGGCCAGAGAAAGAGTTAGAGGTTATTTGGTAAAGAGGGGAAATTAGCATTTACCGTGCAACTAGTATGTGTTAGCCTTTTTCACATATGTAATTTTACTTAATCTTCACTGACATCTTCATTTTTATAGATGAGAAAATAGAAGCTAAATGATTTCCCAAGTCTACACAGCCAATAAGTGTCTGGACCAGGATTCGGACCCTGGTGGAGTTAACTCCAAAGCCAATATATTTAGTTACTCTGAGACTCATCGATAGATCCTAATAGCTCATGCTGACAGTTAGCAGAGGAACATGGTCTTTTCTTCTCCATAGATATTAATATAAACTGTTGATCATAGAGAGTCAAATAACTCCTCTTCCTTTTTCTATACAACCCAGGGTCTTCCTAAAATGCTAGCGATGTACCAGTATAGTAGAAATTTAATTCAGAAAACCTTGCAGGAGATTCAGCTGGTACATCAGTCTTCCGTTGCTACAGAACAAATGATCACAAGCCTAGCAGCTTAAAACACCAGCCACTTACGAGCTCATAGTTCTGTAGCTCAGAGAAGTCCAGGAGGTAAGACTGTGCTCTCTGCCTAGGGTATCAGAAGGATGAAATCAGGGAGTCAGCTGGGCTGAGTTCTTGCCTGGAGGCTCCGCAGAGATGCCCACTGCCAAGCTCACTACTGTTGGCAGGTTTCAGTTCCTGTGGCTGCACTACTGAAGTCTCCATTCCATGCTGGCTGTGAGCTGAGGGCCACACTCGGCTCCTGGAGGCGCCACATCTCTTGCCACGTGGCCCTTTCCACCTAGAGTCCGACAAAAGCATGTTGAATCCTTCCTGTGCTTTGAATCTCTGACGTTCCCTTCTGTGACCGACCAGAGAAAATGACTTTTCAAGGGGTCATGCAATTAGGTCAGACCCATCTATGTTATCTCCCTATTTTAAAAGACAGTAGATTTGGGACCTTAGTTACAGCTCCAAAATCTCTTCGAAGTAGTACCTAGATTAGTGTTTATGGTCAAGAATCAGGTCTAGAAATGGCATATATCACTTTTCCCACGTGCCATTGGCCAGAACTCATGCATGTGACTCCATCTGGCTGCAAGGGGCCTGGCAAACGTGGTCTAGCCGTGTCCCCATGAAGAAAGGAAAGGGATCTCTTGAACAAGTAGCCAGTCTCTATCCCAGGGGTCCAATAAACCCATCTTTACCTGGCTGTTAAAATTCTTGTTTAGCTTATAAATAACCAGTGCCGTTTGACTTCCATCCTTCAGTGGCTCCAGCAGTTCCGTCGTGTAACGTCCCCAGCTCTGCTCTGAGTGGAACTGTGGTAGAGCTGCGATGTCACGACAAAGAAGGGAATCCAGCTCCTGAGTACACGTGGTTTAAAGATGGCGTCAATTTGTTAGAGAATCCAAGACGTGGCCCCCAAAGCAGCAACAGCTCATATACAATGAATACAAAATCTGGGACTCTGGTAAGGTCATGATAAGCATTGGCCTAATAGCAGTCTTGTATTTGGAGAAGAAAAATTATTAGAACTAAAATGATGGAGAATAGAGGGCTGATAACCATTGCTTAAGTGGAGAGAGGGAGGGGGTGCCGGAAAGATGGCACATGCCCACGGAAGTGATGGAAAAGGAGATGGGAAGGCCGTACAAAGAACTAATAATAATAATTTTAACAACTGTCAAAAGGTTCGTTCCTTCAATCTACACGCGCACCGTAACATTTAAATACCAGATCCTCTGGGAAATAATAAAGCATATTGTTGGCTGTGGCTCCTTGACGAGGGCCACACTCCAGCCCTTGCAGCGTCAGCGGGCTCAGTCAGCAGGTCCGATGAATTTTACACTGAGAACTTGGGCAGAAGACCTGCCGTCACACTTCGCTATATTTACTTTTCAAATTTATTTTTTCTCAGAGCAGGTGATAAAAGCCTCAAGGTGAGTTTGAAATGATATAGATTCACCTTCCCCACTTAGCCTCAACCCTTGAAATATCTTATGATGTCAAAGGGAGGCACCAGGGCAGGACAAGGATGGGTTATTTCCTGAGAAATAAGCAACAAAGTCTCCAGTGGATGGATGATAATGACTTCCTTTCAATTATTACTTATGCACCAGTAAATCATTTATGGTTTTAGTCTAACTTGTTGTTAATACTTACCCTTGGCCTTACATTCCTGGTGAATATTTTTATAGTCTGGCTTTGGGGACAGTGATAGATGATTTCATAAAGTGAAATACACGAGGAGAAGCTTTCTGTCCTATCATGTTGAAGTATATAGAATAAAAGGGCGATGTGTAGGCGGTGGGTGATGGAAAGGGAGAGAGAAAAGAGAGTTCATGGATCAAAAGCCTGGTTTTTAGGAACATGCATTGCATGAGGATCTAAGACAATGAGGAGGTGCTCCTTAGAGATTCATGGCTGTCATGGATGCAGTCCACAGTGACCACTGCAGTATTGAGGGTGTGACAGGAGGGCACCAAAAGAATGATTCTGAGTACCCCTCTCACCCTCTGCACTGGCAGCATCCTTTAAGGTGTTCAGGACCCACTGAACCCTCCCTCCCTCCCTTCCTTTCCTCTCTCCCTCCTTGTCTGCCTTCCTTCCTTCCTTCCTTCCTTCCTTCCTTCCTTCCTTCCTTCCTTCCAGAAATTCACAAAGGGAATAAATCCACTAATAAAAACTACGAAGCCTATAATACCAAAGTCTTACCTTTCAGTTATTGTGGCAGAGAGGAGAAGGAGCAAAGGTTAGCCCTTTATTCTTTCAGAATTTTCAAGAATTCTACAACGGAGAGGATTTGTAACCCTGTAAGCTACACCCATTACGATTTTCCTAGGCCCTAAGCTACTTCCTGGTAGGAGTTCTGGCCCTTTAGAGGAAGTGTTGATTGTTTGCTGCTGCAGCGAGCTCACTCGTGGCTGAGAAAACTGCATTAGCCCCTTCAGACCAAGGAGGCCTGCGTTTCCAAGTGGTACGTCCCAGGACTTAGAAATACTGACAAAACGTCATACCACCACATGCTGTAAACTTTGAAAAATGCCCACTGCCTTCTTAACCATACTGCCTCCTCAGTATCACAAAACAAAGACACTTCCCCGTATATATTTAAGTCCTTCTCTGTCAAAATAAACAGGAAGCCTAGCTAATTACGCCTGGAAGTCATGGCAGATTTTTGAATTCGCGGTAAAGGTATAAAGGCCTAGGTGGTGAAAAAGGAAAGGCCTACTGATGGCTAAAATTCAAGGGATGCGGTTACTTTAGGAGTCTACTTAGAGATTTATTGCTTAACATATATGTTTGTTTTCCTTCCGCAAATAGCAATTTAACACTGTTTCAAAACTAGACAGTGGAGAATATTTCTGTGAAGCCCATAATTCCGTGGGACGTCGCAGGTGTCACGCGAAGCGAATGCAAGTAGGTAAGCATGAGATAGTGGGAGGAGCAGTGGTTTGCAGCCAGAACGCACGAGTGCTTGGGGAGAAGGAGCAAGGGGTAGGATCGGGCCGAGTGATTGGAAAGATAAGCCAGACGGAGTGTTTAAAATTCGCTTGGACATGATGTGTTGCAAAAAGCACACATTCTGTTCTTAGTTCGTCTCCCAAACAAGCCAAGAATGTTTAGCATTATACTGTTGAAGTTTCTTAATTTTCCAGATAATTGTTTTAAAAATATGCTTGTCCAGGCGGCCTTTTTCAAACAAACACTGTGACTGTTATAAATTGCGCAGGGTCAAGGATTCGGTATGGTGTTGGATTTCTAGCTCCATCACTTCCTAGCTACATATTCTTGGGCAAATTATTTAGCCTCAGCCTCCCCAAGATGGAAGTAGTAATACTCTGTCTTCATAGGGTTATTATGAAGATTCAAATAATCAGTATTTGAGGGGGTGCCTGGCTGGCTCAGTCAGTACAGCATGAGACTCTTGATCTTGGGGTCGTGAGTTCAAGTCCCATGTTGGGAGTAGAGCTTACTTTAAAAAAAAAAAAAAAAAAAAACAGGGGCACCTGGGTGGCTCAGTCGGTTAAGCGTCCAACTTCCGCTCAGGTCACGATCTCACGGTCCGTGAGTTCGAGCCCCGCGTTGGGCTCTGGGCTGATGGCTCACAGCCTGGAGCCTGCTTCGGATACCGTGTCTCCCTCTCTCTCTGCCCCTCCCCCATTCATGCTCAAAAATAAATAAAATAAACGTTAAAAAAAAATTTTTTTTAAACAAAAAAAACTCAAAGTGTTATTGAAATAGCACTGGCAGATTGTTGGCTATTTTAGTTGTTGTTATCAGATTATTATTGGTAATTTTTTTCAATCTCCTAAAATACAGTGCTTTACTTATCAGAGTAGGCTCTCAAGGCAAACCATAAGAGATCTTACAAAGCACAAACTGAGAGTTGCTGGAGTGGGGGTGGGGGATGGGCTGTATGGGCGATGGGCATTAAGGCGGGCACTTTCGGGATGTACACAGGTGTTATATGTACGTGATGAATCACTACATTCTACTCCCGAAACCATTATTATACTGTATCTTAACTTTGATTTAAATAAAAAAAAAAATAAGACATGTTAAATGTAGTTATGAATCCCTATTTGCTATAAAACATACCTGCCGTATTTCACAACGTAAGCTTCTTAGAATTCAAAAAATTAGTACTCGGGAATCTTTTCAGATTATATGAGTTCCAGAGCAGATACTTACTTTCATTTTATTTTTCATAATTTGGTTCAGTTCTCCCTTTGTGAAAGTCCTGTGTTTTGCAAATGGTTGTGTAATGGAGGGGGGTAGCTGGAGATCGCACCTGCGGGGTGAAAGGTCACTCAGGAGGGCTGCACCCTGAAGCTGAATACCCATGGCTCCCCTGGGGTCAGGAGCTTGTCTTCATCTTTGTGAGGTCAGAAATTTGTTTTTTCAGTGTGCTCGGAGATAAGCAGATACATGCACACTAATTTGTGTTGTTTATGTGCGGTTAAATTCTTGGCATTGTCTTTTAAAGAAAATATGATCTTGTTAGAGGTCAGGATACCCTAACGTATAAGAAACTCAATAGGGTATTCTAATTTCCACAAGTGTCTTTTTGAAATTCAGAGATGCATATTATCCACCAAATTCACTCCAAGTGTTGATGGTAACAGTCAAACATAAGTGTTTGCTTAAAATATCAGAAAGCATCCCTCTTGGGGCGCCTGGGTGGCTTAGTCGGTTAAGCGTCCCACTTCAGCCCAGGTCATAGTCTCGCAGTTTGGGAGTTCAAGCCCTGCGTAGGGCTCTGTGCTGACAGCTCAGAGCCTGGAGCCTGCTTTGGATTCTGTCTGTCTCTCTCTCTCTGCCCTTGCCCTGCTCATGCTCTGTCTCTCTCTCTCTCTTAAAAATAAAAATAAACATTTAAAAAAAGAAAAAAAAAAGAAAGGATCCCTCTTAGTGCTGCTTTGGAGTTATCATTAGAAAAATTTATCAGAACATGTTTAAAATTAATGCATTAGTACAGTGTTTCTAACTTCATTCATTCACCTACTATCCTCATGTTTTTTATGGTAGCCTTATTCCCCCTGCAGTATTACTGTTTTAGTTTTTTTTCTTTACATGGTCCCATTTAATTTCAGTGCCTGATGTAGTCTCACCTTAAGAAATCATATCTGTGAAGGCATGGTTTTAATGGACTAGTGAATGTTTTTCCCTGGCCTGAAGTAAATAAATACATACTAGATGAAATTCAGTAGTTGGTGTTTTGCTAGTATCACCACTATAATTTGACTAGGATTTTCCCATTATCTCCTCTTTCTGGTATAAATTAGCTTACAAGTTACAATTAGTTTGTTTAATGCTCATCCATTGATCCTAGGTGTTTCATGCCCTTGGTTTGGAATGTATATCTTTTGAAATCCGTAAGAATTCATGAAATCACATATCAAAGGTTTTTTTGGTAAACCATCAGTAGTAACTTGTAACCCCAAACAGAATCTGTTAACTGCTTTAAAGAAGCTCTTTTTGAAGTTCAGAAAGAAGGTAAATCATGGGTCTGGTGATCATTCCCAAGCTGCCCCTGTAAAACTCCACAAGACCCCACTCCCACTTAGTATTTTAACAGTTTGGCTCCTTTCCTTTCAGTGAGAATAATGATACCTTCCTTTCATACTGGACTTTTTTTTTTTTTCTCAAAGAAAGAACACAATAGGTTTGTGTGTGTTACATTTTCTCGTTAGTAAGGCCTAAGGCGGCTTTAGAACTTGCTCTCAGTCTCGCAGTAAATGGCAAATAGCATGAGAACATGTTACCTCTAACTTACAAGACTCCTTCCGTTTCACTAAAAAAAAATAAAATAAAAGTTTTACTGTGTCTTACAGGAGAAGACATTTTTTTTTTGTCGTTAAATGTCAAATTCACTGTCGAACTGTAAGACGGATTTTTGTCAGATAATAACCTTGAGGTTGAAAACTCCACAGATACCACATTCTTTGACTACTGCAAAGAAAATAGTAGATACAGTTTGGTTCTAAGGAGTTTCATTTAGTTACCAATTTGCCTTAGATTATGATTATTGTGGATTTTTTCCCCTATTAATTTCATTTTGCCTTAGATTATGAATATTGTAGGGTGCCTGAGTGATGCAGTCAGTTAAGCGTCTGACTTCAGCTCAGGTCATGATCTCACAGTTTGTGAGTTTGAGGCCCACGTCAAGCTCTGCTTGGGATTCTCTCTCTCTCCCTCTGTCTCACTAAATAAATTTATTTCTCTCTAAATAAATAAATAAATAAACTTAAAGAAAAAGAAAAAAAGACTATGAATACTGTGGATATTCCCTCTCTGCTATTTTTATAAAGATTATTTTATTTTTAAAGTTTATTTATTTATTTTTGAAAGGAAGGGGCAGCGAGAGAGGAGAGAGAAAATCCCAACCAGGCTCCTTGCTGTTAGCACAAAGCCCGACTTTGGGCTCGAACCCACGAACCATGAGATCATGACCTGAGCCAATATCAAGAGTCGGATGCTTAACTGACTGAGCCACCCAGGCACCCCTCCTCTATTGTTTTAAGTTAATAAATAGCTGGATCTCATTGACCTCTGAATACTTAAGCAAAATTGAACTGAGTTTATTTTTTAAAAATTTTTTAGAGGGGGAGGGCAGAGAAAGGGAGGGAAACACAGAATTCAAAGCAGGCTCCAGGCTCTGAGCTGCCAGCACAGAGCCCAAAGTGGGGCTTGAACTCATGAACCGTGAGATCATGACCTAAGCCAAAGTCAGATGCTTAACCAACTGAGCCACCAAGGTGCTCCTGAGTTGTTGTTTTGTTTGTTGGTTTAAGATTTTACTTTTAAGTAATCTCTACACCCAACATGGGGCTCGAACTTACAACCCTGAGATCAAGAGTCACATGCTCTACCAATTGAGCTAGCCAGCTGACCCTAAAAATGAATTGAGTTTATACCAAGCAATAATTAATGTTTTCTACTCTGGTCAAATTACTCAGCCTTTCAAAAGGTGTATCCAGTTTTCTTTCTTAAAAAAATCAGTTAACATTTCAGAGACATATGAGAAAATTAGTAACACTTGGCATTAGAAAAAAATTTTGTGGGGTGCCTGGGTGGCTCAGTTGGTTAAGTATCCGACTTCGGCTCAGGTCACAATCTCACAGTTAGTGAGTTTGAGCCCCGCATCAGGCTCTGTGTGGACAGCTCAGAGACTGGAGCCTGCTTCAGATTCTGTGTCTCCCTCTCTCTTTGTCCCTCCCCTGCTTACGTTTTCTCTCTCTCTCTCTCTCTCTCTCTCTCTCAAAAATAAATAAAAATTAAAAAAAAAAAAACTTGAGACCAGAGAGTTTTATGATAAGCATACTCACTTAAATAATGTTTCTTTAAAAAAAAATCTTTCCCCAGGGGCGCCTGGGTGGCGCAGTCGGTTAAGCATCCGACTTCGGCCAGGTCACGATCTCGTGGTCCGTGAGTTCGAGCCCCGCGTCGGGCTCTGTGCTGACAGCTCAGAGCCTGGAGCCTGTTTCAGATTCTGTGTCTCCCTCTGTCTCTCTGCCCCTCCCCTGTTCATGCTCTGTCTCTCTGTGTCTCAAAAATAAATAAACGTTAAAAAAAAAAATTAAAAAAAAAAAAATCTTTCCCCAAATGTGTGGTGCTTTTAAATATCTAAAATTACTGTTGAGAAAGTGCTACCTAAAATTTTCTCCAAGTTATTTAATCACATGCTAATTAATACTTGCTTTTAAAAACAAGAACCCTTTGAAGAATTGTTCCTTTAAAATGTATACGTAATCTACATATTAATCAATACACAGGCAGTACCCAAATGACAGAGGAGTGAGGCTCATGAAATCCTTATGGACGAGCTGGAGAAATGTGATCCAAATTAAATATTTAGACGGATTCACACATAGTTGGATCCCATACCCAGAGGGTGTAATAGATCCTATTATATGAAGGGGGGTGTATAATAGCCTCTTCCATAGTTATTTCCCTAACAAAATCATAATCATCATTTTATTAATTACTTGAATGAGGGTATTTTTGAGGCAGTTCCCAATTACATAAATATTAATCTCGAAAGGTTAATAATCTAATTCTTGGACAACAGAATCTGAAAAAGCTTCGCAGGTTGGTAACAATGGTAGTGATTTCAAAGTGAGTTCCAAAAAATCCAGTTGTATTAGGTTAGAGGGAAGATGACTTAGTAACAACAGGAAAAAGTCTTGGGGAGTTTAGTTCATTTTAAACCTAATGGGATGACAGCTTAATGGCATATATGTAGGTGGGTGTGTATATGTGTATATGGACACACACACAAGCCTGATTAAATTCAAGAAAGATGTTACTGATTCTTAGTTGTTTTTGGTTTTTTTTTTAACGTTTATTTATTTTTGAGACAGAGAGAGACAGAGCATGAACGGGGGAGGGTCAGAGAGAGAGGGAGACACAGAATCTGAAACAGGCTCCAGGCTCTGAGCTGTCAGCACAGAGCCCGACGCGGGGCTTGAACTCACGGACCACGAGATCGTGACCTGAGCCGAAGTCGGACACTTAACAAACTGAGCCACCCAGGCGCCCCAACTGATTCTTAGTTTTATAGAACAACAGTGGCACAGCTTTCTTTGGAGTTGATTGAGTTTTCCAGCATTGGTGAAATTGACACAGATGATGATGTAGAAGAATTTTAAGTAGAATTTGGGGGGTATGTGGTGGTGTAATACTTGAATTCACTGAACTTTGAAGGTCACTTCCAGTGTGATATTTAATCTTTTGAAGTTTTACCTCTACAAATGACTGCAAGAGAATATACCATATGTATTATTTCTGAATCTAGAATTTCTTTAAATGTAAGATTCTTGCAAAACTTAATTTTTTTTATTTAAAAAATTTGTTTAATGTTTATTTTTGAGAGAGAGGGAGAGAGAGAGACAGGGTGTGAGCGGAGGAGGGGCAGAGAGAGAGAGAGAGAGAGAGAGAGAGAGAGAGAGAGAGACAGAATCTGAAGCAGGCTCCAGGCTCCAAGCTGCCAGCACAGAGCCCAATGCAGGGCTCGAACTCACAAACTGAGATCATGACCTGAGCTGAAGTCGGATGCCCAACCGACTGAGTCACCCAGGCACCCCAATTCTTTTTTTTTTTTTAAGTGTATTTATTTTGAGAGAGAGATTGTGTGCGCAAGGGAGGGAGGGGCAGAGAGAGAGGGAGAGAGAGAATACCAAGCGGGCCCTTCACAGACCCTGAGGTGGGGCTCAATCCCGCGAACAGTGAGATCATGACCTAAGCTGAAACCAAGAGTTAGCTGCTTAACCGACTGAGTCACCCAGGTGCCCCTCAAAACTTAATTCTGTTAATATTTTCAAGCAATTTTGAACCTTGTCCTGGAAGTGAGTCAATTGAACAGGCTTTAACAGCATGAAACTATCCATGTTTACGGTATAGAAGCCAAGTGGAGCTTTTGTGATTTTTTTTTTCAATTCAATAACTACATCTGTCTGTCTGTTTGACCCAAATTCATGCATGGTTTATTTTGCATTCCAGACGATCTCAACATACGTGGCATCATAGCAGCTGTAGTAGGTGTGGCCTTTGTGATTTCTGTTTGTGGCCTTGGTGTGTGCTATGCTCAGAGGAAAGGCTACTTTTCAAGTAAGTGGATTTCACCCTTCTTTGCTAGACAACTTCCAGTGGATATAGTTTTCTTATGAGACATTGTTTCTCCCAATTAGTTCTAACAAACCCTAGATACTATTTTTCATTGGTTTTTCTGCAGAAGAAAGTGTTCAACATGACATGTAGGTGAGTTATGAAGCACTTTGGCAAACATAGGGATGAAAGGCAGAGCTGCCTGATCGGAACATTCAGGAAACACCACAGAATATGTGAGAGGCGCCCTGGAGTGGCGTAATGCCGCAGCACTTACTGGGATAGTCAACATCCATGGATATTTCCAGTATATTTACATGTATTTAAGATCTCTTTACGTTAGGAATTACATATCTCAAGATGTAAATTGATTTCCACTTTTATCATAAGAAGTTTCAGTGAAATATTCTATCAGCGTCGAACAGTGGAATGTGGAATATCAAATTTAGCACCACTGTATATACAAGAGAATTAGTCAATAAAAACAAGTGGGGAAGGGCAAAGAGAGAGACTCTCTAGCAGGCTCCCCAGTGTCAGTGCAGAGCCTGATGCCAGGATTGATCTCAGGAACCATGAAGTCATGACCGGAGTGAAAATCAAGAGTTGGGCGTTTAACCACTTACTGAGCCACCTAAGTGCCCCACATAGTTTTTACTTCTTCAGGTTTAGACTTTTTATAACTCCAAACCCCCATTTGATGATAAAATATGTTTGATATGAACGATTATAATATGAATTATTAAAAAAAATAATGTTTTATTCTCTTAACATATTTCTCTACTCCCGGTCTTTAAAATTATCTGAGAGCTCAAAAGCTGTAGAACTTCATCGCATCCATTGGCAATAGTGTAGAAAGCAGAGTTTTTTTTTAACAGAATAGTACATTTATAGCATAAGCAAGTTTTAGACCCGTTGTTTCACAGTGAACATTGATTTTAGAATTTAGGTTTAAAAAACATTTTATGCAACACAAAACTTAACCTATAAATAGATACTATGTCATAAAATGTTTCCATGAGCATTGTTTCAAGAATGTTCCCTATAATTAAGAATAACTGCTCTGTGAATTAATAGTTCTTTTCCTTAGTGCTCCAATCTTAGACTAGTGTGAATGTAACTTTCTGCGTGGAATCCAGCTGAGTCCCCCTGCTGGCCACCAGTGAAAGTACAGACAGATAAGATTACTCCAGAATTCTTGCCATCTTTATCTCCCCTTGTAAAAAGTATCTGTCTGAACGTTTTTATTGGAGGCTTGGTGAATACATTTTTCTTAAAATAATTAAAGATTCTCCGTGGGTATTACGAATTCATTAGTGAAGAATATTACTCCACAACCTATCCGAGAGGATCATTTTCTTAAACTTGCTTGCATTTCCGATAAGAATTGGCAAACTATGACCTGTGGACCATATCCGGCCTGCCACCTGTTTTTCTGTGGCCCACAAGCTAAAAATGGTTTTTACAAATGAACATTTGCAATCTGTTTGATAACAAGGAACACTAACTTTGAATCTTAATTAAGAGAAATGTTATTCCCTCCCCAAAGAAGAATTCTAGTCTTCCAATTAATAGACCTATACTTAAGACTTTATTTTTATATGTTCAGTTGTATTAATAAAAATTTTTGGAAACTTGCTCTCTCTTATTATACAAGTACCTACATAATATCCTCAGTTTTACCTATTGGCCTACAAAGCTTAAATATTTGCCTCATGGCCCTTTACAGAAAATGTTTCCCAAACTTGATTAGAAAGTGCAGATATAACAAGAGAGAATCAAGATTGAGAAAAAGAAATTAAGCCTAAACTCACTTTTATATTAATATATTAACATATATTATGTTAATATATTAATATATTAATCTGCATCATACCATATTAACTCTTGCATTAATGATATACACTTATTCTTTTGTAGAAGAGACCTCGTTCCAGTAAGTATACTTTCTTAAATGCATGCCTTTCCCCCACCTCAACTAATTTTCTGTTAATCATCTGTTTCAAGTCAAACATGAAAAGTTGGTTGTGAAGTATCCTATGGAAGTGACTCATACTTATCAAGAAATACATCCCACCTCATGCCTCATGCCTATCTGTCAATGTTGCTCAATTACCTAGAGAAGAAATGTAGTCACTAATTTGCCCCTGTAGGCATTTCCGTAGTACTACTTTGGAAAATATATTTGCTGTATTTTGCTAAACTGAAAAATTTCAAATAAATTTTTACTTAACAGCTTTTCACATTTAATTGAATACTTATTTTGTGCCCAACCCTGTCCTAGGGAATGGCAATACGGCAGTGAACAAAACAGACCAAATAACTCTCTGCCTCACGGAGCTTACATTGAAAAAGATGGACAATACACACAAATGTAAACTCTGCAGTTTGTCAGATTGTCATAGTATTATGGCGAAAACTAAAGCGGGTAAGAGAATGCACAGGGTGGGAGTGGAGACTGTCCTTTAGGGTGGTTAGGAAGGGCCTCACTGATGAAGTGATATTTGAGAAAGACCCGAAGGAGCAGAAATCTGTCTGATACCCATGAGAAGAGCATTCAAGCAGAGGAGAAAGAACGGATGGAAAGGTCTTGAGGCCCGGCTTGCCTGGAGTATCTGAGGCATATCGAGGGGATTGGTGTGGCTGAAACAGATTGAGGACAATGGAGAGAGGGGATGCACAAAAGTAATGGAGGCCAGATTACATGGAGCCCCTTCCGGGCAGTTGTGAGGAGTTTGACTTTGATTCTGAGTAAGATGGGAAGTCGCTGGAAGGTTTTGAATGAGGGAGTAGTATCCTGTTACTTAATTCTTAGAAGCTCACATTAGCTGTTCTGTGAGGAATAAACTATAAGGTGACATAGAGTGGAGAAAGCAGGGAGACCAGTTAGGAAACTACCCAGTAATCTAGCCGAGAGAAAATGGTGGCTGGTTCCAAAGCGATGGTGTTGGAGATGTTGAGAAATGATAGGATTCTGGGTATATTTTAAACAATTTACTGATTTGTTGGATGTGGATATGGGAGAAAAAGAAAAATCAAAGATAGATCCAAGGATCTGAGAAGAATAGAGTTACCATTTACTGAAATGTGCAAGACTTCAGGGGGAGCAGGTTTGGGGGGCTTAGATGGGAAGGTCTGAATGTTTTGGAATTTTAATATTTGAGATGCCTACTAAGCTTCCAAAAAGAGATATTAGTAAGTAACAGAATGTATAAACCTGGAGTTTGGGGGAAATATGTTAACTAGGATTAGAAATCTAGGAATCAGAGATCACCAAGTTTACGTGCACTTGATTTGTGACGGTCCGTTCTGTGTACGTGGAAATGGCAGACCCAACCCAGATCTATGGTCATTCCCCTCTACTCTCAGCTGCGTGGCCTCAGATACTTGCTCATCTTCTAAGTCATTTTGAAGACTTAGCTGCCTTTGATTTCCTGTTCCCAGACTTTCTACTCAACCCTGGTCTCTCTGTCTAATAATATCCCACTACAAGTCCAAGATGACCTCCAAGTTATCAGGGATAACAGTAGCAAAGGGGAAAAGTTCAGAAAACAGGTTGCCTGATGATATAGCTGCTCTGCATTCCACCCTAGGCAATTGTAGGGACTTCCACTTTTATTGAATAAGGTAGAAAGTAATGGGAGGTTTTGGACAGCATCATCTTATACAAGGGGAAAGGCTGGCATTGCTATGGCGAGAAGGTAATTCTTTTCTTCAATCACGATGTCTTTGTTAACGCAGGTAGGAATCTGGGAGACAATATCTTTACTCCTAGATACGTTTTTGCCGTTTGTCAAATCCATCACCCTCAAAATTTTGGGGATAATGAATTGGATGTTATAGTAATTTGCTAGGGCTGCCGTAACAAAGTGCCACAGACTGAGTGGCTTAAACAGAAATTTGTTTTCTTACACTTCTGGAGGCTAGGGATCCAGATCAAGGTGACAGCAAGGTTGGTTCCTTCTGAGGACGACAAGGGAAGGATCTCTTTCAGACCTCTCTCCTTGGCTTATAGATAGTCTTCTCTCTGTCTTCATATTGTCTTCTGTCTGCCTGTGTTTGTGTCTAAATTTACTCTTCCCGTAAGGCCGCCAGCCATATTGGATTAGGGCCCACCCTAATGACCTTATTTGAATTTAATTACCATTTTAAAGTCTCTATATCCAAATACAGTCACATTTTGAGGTACTGGTAGCTGGGACTTTAGCATGAATTTTTGAGGGGAATACAGTTCAGCCTACAACAGATGACTAGAACCCTAGTTACTGTGTAAAGCTTTCTTCCCATGGGAAAAAGTGAACTTTGATGATAATTGATCAAGCTTTCAAAATGCAAAATGTTAAAAAATTGGTAAGTTAAAAGTGAGTAAGTTTCTGTTCACATAATCCACAGAAATCTTTAGTCCTAGGGCTACAATGAGATCCCTAGGGTTTCCTGGGCCAATCCCTTGCTGCACGGCTTTCTCTGTGAATCTTGTCTACAAACAGAAGATATTCAGTTGGGATTGCTGGCCTTTTTTTTTTTTTTTTTTTAATACTGTCTTTTATATTCTATAAACAGGAGAAGTAATTCTGCATCTAAAGCCACCACAATGAGTGAAAATGTGAGTATGTTTAAAGCATATTTATAGATCAGATGTGTTTGGGAAATGGGGCAGGGAAATGAAGTGATTGTACAGAAAGGATGAATTTTGACTTTTAATATACTTTGTGCTAGTGTCTATTACTGGTATTTATTTATTTATTTATTATTATTATTTTTTTATTATTACTGGTCTTTAGAGGGAGCTGAGTAAATGTTAGTTTCCATCCTCCGTCTGGGACGGTATGATAAATTTGCCCAGCATTTGTAGACCAGTCGGGGCTTTGCCATACCATAATTTTCTTTCATGATGTTTGCTATTATTATTCAGCCTTCTTAGCATCATTAAGTCTGGTATTATCAGCTCCATTTCATAGATAAGAACATTAAGACACAAGTTCTCATAGGATTACAGTGGTAGCACTGGATTCAGGGACCTTGACTCTTGTCAGCTTGCCTCAGCAGATGGCTTCCAACAGATCTGTGATTCCAGGACTCTCCTTTGGTTATACAGAGAAGTTGGAAAATTTACGGATATGGAAGATCCTCTGCTAATACTGAAAGGCACATTCTAGAAATCCCTGAGGAGATGCAATAATTATCTAACTCAGATGGTTTAGGCAACATAAATTGGACCCTTTTGCATTCATCAATACTAGAGTGAAGCAGTAAATACCATCATTGCTCAGACTTTGTAGCTCTCTGCATGGATATTCAACCTTCTGGATTATTTTTCAGGAATGTGGGAAGGAAGGAAGGAAGGTTTTCAATGTTTTTAGAGGTCTAAGCCCTTTCTTGAGAAACAGAGCATGGGTTTTCTGAATTCCTTGGCACTCTGGCAGGGATCCTCTTAGGTATCCTATTTGTAGAGCTTGGGGTAGGCAGTGGACACGTATTTTAAACAGATAAGTGATCCTCATGGATATGAACTTTATGACCCACGTATGCTGCATGGATTCTTGTTTTCTGCCAAAATTTGATTTTCTAAAATTGTCTACTCCAAACTCCATCATAGAAGTCACTTTATTTGTGGTTTACTATGCCAAAATCATATTTTCATTAGTAGGTAAGCAGTCTATAACTCCATATTTATAGAAAGCAATATGTAACTCCTATAATTTCTAGAAAATACTCCTTAAATGTGGAATAAAATAATCGCATCCTACCAAACAGTAAGAGACACTGTGGGGCACCTGGGTGGCTCAGTCAATTGGGCGTCCAATTTTGGCTCAGGTCATGATATCACGGTTCATGGATTCGAGCCCACGTCAGGCTCTGTGCTGACAGCTGGGAGCCTGGAGCCTGCTTCGGATTCTGTGTCTCCCTCTCTCTCCGCCCCTCCCCCGCTCATGCTCTGTCTCTCTCAAAAATAAAATAAACATTAAAAAAAGTTTTTTTTTAAAGATACTTTGTGGTGGAGTCAGAAGAGCAAAAACCTTTTATTTTTTTTCACTGTCTTCCTCTCAGTTGCCCTCATCCACTGAGAAGTCGAGCCTCCAATTGTCGAGCCTCCAATTTGCCCCAGAGCAGAATTTCTTGGTCTTGGCATTACTGACAATTTCTTATAATTCTTATGTTGTGATTTTTTTTTTTTAAGCTTTATTTATTTATTTTGAGAGAGCGAGAGAGAGAGAATCCCAAGCAGGCTCCGCACTGTCACCATAGAGCCCAACACAGGGCTCGAATTCATGAACTGTGGGATCATGACCTGAGCCAAAATCAAGAGTTGGCCACTTAGCTGACTGAGCCACCCACGCGCCCCATTATATTTGTAATTTCTTCTATGAATTCTTCTATAATGAAATCTTACAATTTTGTAGAATTCTTGGCTGGGGGGGCTGTACTGTGCATTACAGAATGCTTAGCAGCACCCAACCTCCACCCTGTCGATACCAATAGTATACCCCTAGCAAATAAGATTTCTCCTGCTCTAACTCCCACATTTACTTCCTTACTCTTTAGGCAAAGTTTCAAAGATCTTGTCTCCTAGTATTTATTTAATTCCCCGCAAAATAGAGTTAGTTAAATATATGCTGGGTTGTACCTGTAAGATTCTCATAGTGCATGTAGCTTTATACTCATAAAATGTACTTATTTCTTTAAATATGAATGAATACATTATACTTAAACTTGTTTTTTTTCCTTTTCCTAGGATTTCAAGCATACAAAATCTTTTATAATTTAAAATAATGCCACCTTTGAGATACACCAAAACCACAGTTGTTACACAAGCTATTAAAAGATTTAAATCTCTGCTTTGTCTTACATTTGCAAGGAGGTACATGAGGAGATTAAATTGGTATTTCATTCTAATTTTTATGATCGCTAAATTACTTGAAATTGTTATTTTAAACAAATAGTTCTGTCAGCACCTAAATAAAATACGGTCTGGCTTCTTGTGTCTGGACAAAGTTAAAAGAATCACAATACTTTATAGTATTCTGGGGTTTATGAGATGTTAAATGCCCTAACTTCTGGAGGAGGTTCGATTGTGAAATGAACCCACAGAGCATGAAAATATAAACTGCATCCACTTTCTGTACAAGAGTCTGATTTAGAGGGTTCAGAAAACACTCTAAGACAGATGCACTCTAAAACACTTTGACAGATGCAAAGGGAACCTCTGATCTTATTTCTACCAGAATCCTCTTTTCTCCCCTAATACAATCTGTATTCCACTGCTCATTTATCACTAATCTATTCACAGAAGGGAGGTAGCAGGAGTGGGTCTTATTCCCAAGGATTTGCACTTGTGTTTATTTTTATTTCTGAGAACCAAAAACAACACGAAGAAATACCTAATGACCAGAGCTCACTCACCTGATGTCATTGATTTCTTCATTAAATGTAACTTTGAGAGTCGAACCCAAACCCAAATGTCTTCTTTCCCTTGAGTTGCTTGTTGCTGTTTCCTTCTCCTAAGAACGCTTTGAAGATCATCAGTGAACTTGACATCAGACCTCTCCACTGGACCCCACACACATAACCTTGCAGGCAGGCACCCTTCTCTGCATGATGGGGACTTCATATTTGTCTCTGATAATCATGCAGTGAAATTCTGGGCTGGGTCAAGTCCAGAATTAATAATCAAATCCAGTCCTGCTTATTGAAGAGCCAGAGATACAGAGGAGAAAGAGTTGTCTAACAAATGAAATGAAAAATCAGTCCAATCATCTGGTTTCTCCACGGTGTCCAAGCTAGTGTTACAAAGTGAAAATTCCAATGATCCATGTAAGAGTAACTAGGCTGTGCTAAAAAGCATAATCTTCTATAACTTATTGTGATTATTCAGTTTATCTTGAAAATAAAATATGGGTAGGGCATTTCCAGTTCTGGGCAAATCTGGATGAAAAGCTTACAAACTTTGACAACTTTGAACATGGTTAAGCTACTTTTAAAGGAATCCATTTTTCCCTCAATAGACAAAGCAAATCCCAGGATTCACTGGGCCAACAAATGATACCTGGATACCACACCGGGTCACTGGGAAGATGTCTGTTGTCAGACTGTGCCTTGCCCCCCACTCTTCTGTGGCATTGGATGCTTCTCACCAGACTCCTTGCAATATTTCCTATAAAGGGCCAGATAGTAGATATTTTAAGCCATACTGGTTTTATGGTGCCTGTTACAACTACTCGACTCCACCTTGGTAGCACAAAAGCAGCCGTAGACAATAATAAATGGCACGTTTGTGTTCCAACAAAACTTAATTTACAAAAACAGCAGGCATAGACAGGACTGGACCCACACGCATACTTTCCCAATGCCTGGTGCTGAAGCATGAGAAAAAACACCTATCTATAAGCTTTTGCCAAAAAAAATAAAAATAAAAAATAAATTAAGCTAAATGTTGCCCATGCTTTGATTTGGTTTGGTATGAGGAATGCTTTCTTGTTGCATGGCCAAGGGTCCAAGAGTGTACGTGAGTCTCAAAGATGGCTCTTCAGGCATACCTACCAGCACACAAGATCAACTTCTTCAATTTAAATGACACAGATTGTGGGGGAAAACATGCAGTGCCTTACTAACAGATGAAAGCTGCTGAGCCATTTGGCTAGAAGACTCATCTTATAAAGTGTTAACATATAACACTCTCTGAGTCAAATATGTATTATACATTATCTTAATATATTGTACGTAGCTAAGTAAGTCATTGTGTACAGGATGCTTGCTCCCACACAAAGGACATAATGTTGAGCACTCGTTTTCCATTTATTAAAAGTATATCCACCATTATCTGGACTTGTGTTTCCATTTGCTTTTGAGGAACTTGAATATTAACAATATTATAATATTGAGGCAAAACCTCATTATAATTCATAGAGAGTTTTGATTTTCTTTTCCTGCAGTGAAATTGTGTTCTATAAGGATGAGGGCTCTAAAATCTCTAACAGCAAGTTTTGCTTGGTTTTAATTATCGTTGTTGCTATTGTAACTAGATTTAATTTATTTTTAGTTAGGGGTTTAACCTAACTAAATCTGGAACGATTGTTTTTTAGTATAACTTTGCGAAGAATTTCCTTCATCTCATGAGTGGTTTTGTTTGATTAAAGTCTATGTTAATAAAAATAGCTGAACTTGTTCAACTTTTTAGGCCCATTTAACCGGTGCAGGGGAAAAGTCATCCACCTATCGTTCAATAAAACCTGGGGAAACTATGCCCTCTTACCATCTATAGCTACAAGGTTAGCTCTTCAGCTGCTTAAGATTAGAATCTCATCTTTCTTCTGGGTGCCTGCCAACTTCCCAAATGCTGGGGGAAAATGAAAATACCTTGCAAATAAAAAATCAGAACTATTAAACATTTTATACATGTGAAGTGGGGGTGGATGGAGATGCAGGTGTATACAATCTCATTCATCTCAACGGTATTATAAAGCGGATCATGTGGTCATTTGCAGACCAGGAAACAAACTCAAGAGTCAGTCTGCCAAGTTCACAAAGGGAAGTGAGGGCTCATGGTCTAAGAAACACAGGTCCATCTGATTCAGGATGTTTCATACAAGATGTTTTTTCTCTTGCCCCCAACATACTTTCTTTTAGATTCTTACTTACTTCTCTCATGCCACACCCTCTCTTCACCCTTAGTAATCTCTGGCTAGTTCACCCCTCCCCAGTCTCACAGCTCACAACCTTTTTCTGTCTTGCCTATCCCCAAATTTTGCAAATTGCAAATTGTAAGTGCCTGCCAAAAAGGAAATAGCTTTTTTGAGCAGGGTGAGAGTTGGCAAAAGGTATCAAAGGAGACAGCAGGAGATGGTGAAGGACCTGTTTCCCCAGGTTCTTAGGACAAGGATGGTAAGTTTCCCATACTCAAGGAGAGGCATCATCTAAAGTAATTGGCCTTGTGCCTTCTTGCCAGTGTCTTACTGAGGTCAAACATCTGAAATAAGACTGTCCCACTGGGATGGGGAACAGAGGGGAGTTTGGAAGAGGTGGAGTTGAAACAGACCTCCCACTTAGGTAATCTGTACAACAGGAAGACCTCCTGGCCCAAAGAGCCCCCCAAGAATTTATACATGCAGCCCCTAACCAGAGAGAGCCAGCATTTATAGGCTCTGCTAAAGCAAGGGCAGCAGCAGAGAACTAGTAACAAAGACAAAAAAAATCCCACACTAAATGGATTTAAATAAGCAAAAATTGCCTAGAACAGAAGTCTTCTTTGGTTATCATTAAAGGTAACACTGGGGGGGGGCGCCTGGGTGGCTCGGTCGGTTAAGCGTCTGACTTCGGCTCAGGTCATGATCTCACGGTCCGTGAGTTCGAGCCCCGCGTCGGGCTCTGTGCTGACAGCTCAGAGCCTGGAGCCTGTTTCAGATTCTGTGTCTCCCTCTCTCTCTGACCCTCCCCTGTTCATGCTCTGTCTCTCTCTGTCTCAAAAATAAATAAACGTTAAAAAAAAAAAATTTTTTTTTAAATAAAAAAAAAATTAAAAAAAAAAAGGTAACACTAGAGGGGCACCTGGGTGGCTCAGTTGTTTAAGCATCTGACTCTTGGTTTCGGCTCAAGTCATGATCTCACAGTTCATGGGTTCGAGCTCTGGATCAGGCTCCATGCTGAGAGCATGGGGCCTGCTTGGGATTCCCTCTCCCAGTCACTGCCCCTCCCCTGCTCACATTCTCTCTCAAAATAAATAAACTTAAAAAAAAAAAAAAAGGTAACACTAGATAAGACATGTGTCCCTTTCCAGTTCTTTGTACCTTTCTTCAACTCAAATTCCCTCTTTTGATAAGAATGGTAGTCAGAAGTGGATTCAGGCCCACCCAAAGGGCCTAACTTTAACTTAATCCCATCTAAAAGTCCTATCTCCAAATACAATCACATCCGGAGGTGCTGGGGGTTAGGACTTCCATAAATGAATCTTAGGGGAACACACTTCAACCTGTGACACCAGGCATGGGAGAAGAAAAGTTACTTTCAACACGAAAACCTAGAAGGCTGAGGTCATTTGTGATAAACATCTCAGGTAGTAAGTACAGGATAAGGAGTGTACTGGCAGACTGAAGTGACAGATAAAGGCTGGAGTTTGCAGGGTTGGGGCAGCGTCACCAGAAAGAGGAAGGGGCTCTGAGGAAGATGAAGCCTTTAACATCTGACTCAAAGCACCACTGTAGCATTCAGCCGGGAAAAAGAGCGTACTTCCCTGTTCAAAAGTTAGCAATAAACGCCCTATGATGTAGGGCCCGGGAGTAGGGTACTTAATGCAGTATTCTTACAGCCCTGAATCCTTATGTTTACATAATGAATGAAGAGATTGGGATGTTGAAGCAAACTCCAAATAGTTGCAGGGCAGATTTTTAAAAATATGAGGGGTATCTGGGTGGCTCAGTTGGTTGAGCAAACAACTCCTGATTTAGGCTCAGGTCATGATCATCGCCCAGTTTGTGAGATCGAACCCCACATCAGGCTCTGTGCTGACAGTGCAGAGCCAGCTTGGGATTCTCTCTGCCCCTTCCCTGCTCATGCTCTGCTCTCTCAAACGTGTATGAGAAAGTAGGTGTGAAATTATAAAAGGTAAAATACAACTAACCTGAGTGGCAGAGTGAGGGAAGGGAGACGAAGGAGGTGCTGAAAAGGATCAGGCCCTTCTAGACGGGCCTTTGCACCTCGGAGTCAGGCAGCTTGCCTGCCGCAGGTGGGTGGAGGTGCTTCAGGGGAGGTTAGAGAAAGAACCTGAGCAACTCA